GGTCAGCTCCACGAGATCTCACTGACTACACGGGTCAGCTCCACGAGCTCCTCACTGACTACACGGGTCAGCTCCACAAGCTCCTCACTGACTACACGGTCAGCTCCACGAGCTCCTCACTGACTACACGGTCAGCTCCACGAGCTCCTCACCCACTTTACACAGGACAGCTCCACAGCTCCTCACCCACTTTACACAGGACAGCTCCGTGTGGCTTCTGACTGACTTTGCACACTTCCAGGGGCCGTCGGGGCCAGGCAGGACTTCTACCCTGACAGGCATGTGTTTGTTTCCAGCCCCTTCCATAATGACCACTGCTCCTCTCCCTCAAGCCGCAGTTCCTTCCACAGTGAGGCCTCATCCTACACGTCGGGGCATTTGATTAGCAAACGCAACAGTGGTTTTCTTCTTTGTTGATTGGCTGATTCACTGGTTAGTTATTTCCAGTTACAGCTATGAGAAATGTTTAATATGTTTTCAGATCCAGACATTTTAGAGGAGAAATGCTGTTGACTATATTTCCAATCTCAGCTGGGTAGTGTGTGTGTGTGTGTGTGTGTGTGTGTGTGTGTGTGTGTGTGTTCACACACACAGGTGCTAGTCTAGGGGCAGAATTCACAGCCTGGGAGCTGTCCCTCAGTTTCTTTTTTGTTCAAGGCTAGTGTTCTACTACTTGATTCTTTGCTGGTTAACTGGAGATAAGACTCTCATAAACTTTCCTGCCTGGGCTGGCTTGGAGCCATGATCCCGAGGCCTCAATTTCCTGAGTAGCTAGGATTACAGATGTGAGACACTGGTGCCCGGCTCACCTAGGTATTTTTATCCTATTAACACAATAAAGAGACATGACATTAATGCTTCAGTCTTCCTAATTGTTGAATTAGCCATCAACCCTATCTTGTAATCTGAAGCAATAATGACATGGAACAGGTAAAGAGCAATAAGAAAAAAAAATCGATTGATGGATCAACTTTGGACATATCAAAACACTGGGTTATAGTAGTGCTGAAGGGAAAGTCAGGCGGGAATATTAGGACTGCCTCGGGAGCAGAGTAACTTGGTGCGGCTTTATCCCTCCATCCACACCCATCACGGGAGCAGGGGCCCTGTCAGCAGACAGTGCCTCACCCAGGCGCACTGAGTAAAGTATGTCTTAACAAAAGCCCCAGGTAATTCAACAGACAGCAAAGAGAACCTATAGCTCAGTTTCTTGGCCTTTAAATAAAGTAACAAAGTTACTATTCATTGATAACATGTCATGTGCCAAACACTGTGTCCGTCCTCCAGATGCAGGCTTTATTTAATCTGCACAACAATCCTCCAAAACATTCACTGCTTTGCCCTTACTCTATCCGTTGTGATACGAAGAAACTGCGGGATTACGGGGCTTGCCCGAATGTGGTGGTGTGAACAGGAAAAGTGTGTGCTCCAAGCTGCTGCCCCCAGCAGCTGCTCCACAACCGGCCACCTACTTTGTAAGGCAACTGAATCATATGAGAATTTATTTAAACTGATAATGTGAAATCAAATCCTATCCCCCTTGTATTAAAAAAAAAAAACTTGTATTTAAAAAAACCATTTTGTTATAAAACATTTGGTTTATAACATTTGTGCAATATTGCAGAGTTCTAGAAATTTCTGTTTCAGTTGGAAAAGAAATACTAAACGTATGGCAGTGCACCCAAACTCCTGAAGTATACTCTCACTATGTGTGAGGATGCTGTATCTCAGCTTCTCCTCGGTCGAGCTGGGGTTTAGAAGGAAGACTTGTTTGTTTAGCTGGCATTCTACTACATAACTCTGCCTCCAGCCCTGCTTTTTGCTGGTGATTTTAGAGATGGAATCTCACAGACTCTTCTGCCCAGAACAGCCATGTGTCCAGGGCTCAGCCACTTGAGCAGCCAAGACTGCAGATATGAGCCACCGTGCTAGGCTAGAATAGTACACTTCTAAAACTTAATTTGTGCTCTATTTTCACATAACTTATCTAAGATTTACTATTTACCTCTTAGGTAAACAAAGGGTGCTTCTGCTGTTATACAGTTGTCTCTCTAGTCACAGAGAGTTAAACACAAGTCAAATCAGGGTATTGGTTTTTCCACGTCTAATGTAAATGCCTACCTACCACAAACACAGTTCACAAAGCCACAGCTGAATGTCTGTCCTGAACAGTCCCCGAGGAACTGGTGATCTGTTTTCAAACCAGTGAACCCCCAGTGAGTCAGTTCCAGAAACATTTCTCCCGGGGCATGAGGTTTTGTGACAGTGCTCAGGTCAGAGTGATCTGCCGGAGGTTCTTGTGCTGACAGAGCAAGCGCACTGCCGCTGGGCAAGGGACAGGAGGCTGAGCGGGGGCTCCCTGAGATCATGTAGGAGAGAGGTGTGCCATCAGCACTGGGCAGCCTGGGTGTTTCTCCCCGATGAACTTCACCAACCCCACACACCAGGAATGCGAGTGAGTCCTTGCAGTGAGAGAGGAGGGCAGGGTCAGCCCTGATCTCCCACCCCTCCACACCGGGAGGCTGGGCCCAGAGGCACCGGCAGGCCTTGTACTCCGTCCTACCAGGCAGATAGATGTGCTCAGCGCTCACCAGGATGGGGGGTCAGCAGGCCTCCCCTTCCCTTGGGCCACATGCGGTCCACTGGTGTTCCAGAGCACAAGGACACATGAACGTTGGTAAATACAATTGGAATCGGTATTCTATCCTGGTAGAAAACCCTTGTGGAATTTCTTCTAGTGAATGCCACGTGCTTACAAAGTTCCCTTTGTGACCTGCATTCTTGTTACCCAATTCAAATATTTTTCCTGTTCTAAGCCTCGACAGTTTGACTTAGCATAGGGGCGCCCCATTCACCCAGACAGGGCCACCTGGTGCCTTTTCCAGCCCTGTGCTGTTTTATACAGAGCACATTGCGCCATGTCCTCTCCCAGCCCTCAGCCTTCCCTCGGCCACGGCTGCCACCTCATCAGGAATGGGGGAGGATGGGATGTGATCATAGTCATGATTTCTTGACTCTGTCCTGACCTCTGATCTAGGAAGATAAGAGGAGGGCCAACAGGACTGAGCAGCCCCAGGGCCATCATCACAGTTAATTGTTATTTGGGGCCACATGGGGGCTTTGAACATAGAACCTCCTGCTTGCTAGCCAGTGTCCTGTCACTTCAGCCATGGTTTTATGGAACTATGTTGCACATAACATAACATATGCTGATATAAATATTTAACGTCAAGGTAAGAGTAAGTGAATAAGGCAGCCCATTGAGTCATAGTCCTGAGTGCTATTTATTCTGTGTGGTTTCATAGACCTTGCCCAGGCTCCCGGGAGGACAGACTTGGTTTCTCCATGTTCTAACCAAAATAATTGTTAGGTTAGCACAGATGTGTAAGTAAAATCATTTATGTATTTTTAAAATGCCTTCACATTCGTAGAGCAGAAAAGAAATGTCAGGAAAAAAACGCACAACCCATCTTAACAAGGTTTTGAGGGCTCTTCCTTTCAGGTTCTATTTTTCACATGTGCTTTCCAAATTTCCTGTTGTGAATCTGTGCTTTCCTACTTCTTTCTATTTGTCTTGGGTTTTCTATTGCTTCCCCCATAACTTGCTCTGGACCTCAGGCCCTAGAACACCACTGTTAACTCTTTATTACCATACCCTAGTAAATATAGGTGGTAAATATAGTTGGGCTTTTGTTATAGTTGTATTTTTAAGGAACCTATATACAGTCTTCTTGTGTAACTCTTCAACTGAAAAACACCTTAGTTGAGAAAACTTCCAAATTTACTGAGAAAAAAAAAATCACGAATTTGGCTACTGTTGGGAAGAAGCCAGTGGACGGGCAGGGAGGAGGAAAGGTGGTAGAATAGATATTTACAGAAGTACACATATGAAACTTGCATAAGGAAACCCTTCAAAAAATTTCAAGACATAGGAGGAGGGAAAAGGTTAAGAAGGAGCATTGTAGATGAGAGGAATTGGATCAAAGCACATTTATATATGGGCTGTAAATACCACACTAAAGCCCCACTTTACAATTAATTTATGCTAATAAAAATAACTAATTAATGAATAGTTCAATAGTTTTCTTTAAAGAACCATAAACAAGATAAGCCAGAAACCTGGGACGGCTATTTTCTGTGTGTCACATCAAATGTGAGTTTTTGTAACTTAACTGGGACTCACAATTGAAAAGGAAACAAAGGGATGGTTGATAAAATTAGTAGAGAACAAACTTCCAAAAACAAGAATACAAAAAGAACATGACCTCACTCACAACTAGGGAAATCCTACCCAGCTTGAGACCCTGAGTTCAAACTCCAGTACCAAAAAAGAAAAGAAAAGGAGAGAAAATGAAAGAGGGAAGGACAAAGGAAAGAGAGAGAAAAGGGAGAGGCAGGGAGGGAAGAAGGGAAGATTATACATATATACAAATATATGTGTGTGTTGGTATACATTTATATACATGTATATATGTCCCAGGAAACCATTAAGTACAATCCAAGTCTATGTATAGAAAAATATGATCTTGATGTGAAATAGATGACTTTATTCTCTTCTAATAGACTCTTAATGTATTAATGCTTTCTCTGTAAATTAAAAACAAACAAACGAAAACTCCACTAACATTCACGAATCATTTCAATCTGTTCTTTTTTGCAGATTTACTGTATGGCAGACTGACCTAAGATGGCTGGGTCTTTATCAGAATAGGTCCCTGAAGCCAGTCCAGAAAGTCGCCACCGGTGAGTGTCTCCTATGCGTCACGAATGCTCTCTGAGCCTAGTGGTGGACGGAGGGCAGCAAAGATGCCCCACACCATTGTTCCCCTCCCACTTCGGCTGAAGTCTATGCTTGGGAGACACTTCCTGGAAAACACTCTGTAGACTGGCGTTACAAACTCTTCAGGACTGCTTCAGTCCTGGAAATCTACATAGTCATCCGCTACAGAGTGCTTTCCCTGGGTGTCTTTAGGGTTGTCTTCGGGGTTTTTTTGTGTGTGCATGTGTTGTTCTGCTTTGTGGAGATGGGGTTAGGCTGTGAAGTGTGAAGTGGGTATGGTTTTAGTCAATGGTACCATAAAATGTGCATCCCAGTTAGGAAGATGTCAAGACGAGAACTGAGAGGAAGGGCATGATGCCCAGAGGTCCACACTGGAGAACCAGTGAACCCAGAACCTTCCCCATCCTATTTCCTGCCAGATGCATGGCTGGGCCCAGCTTCCCTGTCCTGTCTCTCCAAAGTCTTCTAACATTCACATATTCACAACAAAACTTCCAAAATAACTTAGCCAAACTTTGAAGAAGATATACTTTAAAATGTTTAACTTTTTCACACCTTCTAGTTTCAGATGGACACACACAGTGTGTTTCACTTTTGTTTGTTAAAGAACAGGTGTTTTACCAATTCTGCCACAAACTAGCAACATTGTCCTTGTTCTTGTAAAAGAATCAAGGCCCCATTTCAGGCCAGGAACACTACTAAAATGCAGAAAGACCTTCTGAATTCCATAGTACCCCTTTCAAATATTACAATCTATGACTACAGAACTCTGATCTCATCGATTTCACCCAGCACTGGGCAAACAGCATTGCAAGGCTTGTATAGAGCCAAAGAGTTGGTGTTGAAATGTCAGGACAAATGAGGAGAGAGTACATTTGAAAAGAAAAGCCTTATTTCATGGCTTAAAAATCTGTAGGTCTGAACCATACAATGTGGCAGCCTCCAGATGGCCATTTAAATTCAAATGTGAACGATGATGAAGTTAAACTTAATGTTCAGTCCTTCCATTGGGCAAGCCATAATTCAAGCACTGAGTCCTCATGGGTAGGCAGTGGACAACACAGAAACAGAACGTGTCCCTCCTCACAGAAAGGTCAGTTGGACAGGACTTCTAGAAACAAAGTTGCTGGTAACACATTGAACTCTCATTGCCACTGGGAAGATTTGTGTGCTTTATACACAAATAGAAAAGGTTAAAGTATTTTTGAAATTCTAATTTTCTTAGTGTTAAATTATCTGGGCTAGAGCTCTCATCCATCCTTTCCTATATTTTTTTCCTATTTAAATATAAGGGATTTGGTATTTTTGCTATTCTTCTAATGTTTTAGGTTCTTGATTTCTTAAAAAGTGTAATGTACAAGTAAAATTACTCTACAGAGCCACAATATATTTACCGGAACATGGTACATCTGGACCTGCTTCGCATGTACTACATAGGGGTTAAGTGACTATTAATATTTTTATGATTATAAGGGCCAAGAGAATTCGCTTTCTAAATTTAGAGGCTGTGTGTTGCTGGCAGCAAGAACTTTTAGCTTATACCAAAAGCGTGGTGACCTTCTCCCAACATTTTACTGTCTAAGACTTTTAAGAAGACTTAGGTGATGCAGTCATTTATTACATGCCAGGAAAGTCTAAGATCTCCCAGAATGCAATGCCACACTGCCCACCTGGTACGGACAGCCAGTTACTGAACAAGGCCTTCCCCACCTTTCCAGACTTTGAACATAATAGCCTCAGCCAGCGGCCCTGACCTCAGGGCATGGTGATTCTGCATCCTCCAGACCCAGCGAGGAGCAATGCTCCAGGAAAACACAGAATAACTATGCACACAAGATCAGGCCTGGCATAGTGGTTCCCATCTCTAATCCAGGCACTGGGGAGGATGAGGATTTTCAGTTCAAGCCTGGCGTGGACTACATAGTAGACACTGTTTCAAAAGGGGAAAAGACAAAAGAGAAATGAGTAAGGCCATGACAGATAAAATCAGAGAAGAGAAGAGGAGAGGAGAGGGGAGGGGAGGGGACGGGAGGGGAGGGGAGGGGAGGGGAGGAGAGGAGTAGTCTCTTGATCAGAATGTGGCCTTGAGAACTCAGGGAAAGTCCCAGGTCAGCAACAAGCACTTTGTTGCCTCTTTGTCTCTCCAGTGAGATTGGGAGACTGAAAGGGGTGGAGGGCACAGGATGGAACAACTGTCAGAGCTGGAGGCGTGGTTCAAGGGGTAGAGCGCCTGCCTAGCAAGCAAGTGTAAAGCTCAGTGTTCAAATACCAGTGTTTAAAAACAAAAACAGAATGAGAGTCCTCTTTAACAGTGTGAAGCAGGAGATTTTCTTGAGCAGACCCACAACAATGTCAATTTTGGTCCTTAATGACAGAGGACAACAGCATCGCCATAAAATTATTGTGTAATGCTGATGGACCAATCCTAAACTGTTTGTGGATCCTTGTCTCTGCTTTGCATACAATGTGTTTATCTGTACACAACCGAATGAATAAAGAACACTGGAAATGGTCCTGTGGAAATTATTGACATCAGCTAGGCCCGGGGAAACTGAGTCATAGAATATGTCTCCCTGGACTCCTCCCAGCATTTAAGTATAATTAGATGGAGAAATTTGAACAAACATACCTGAATTCAAGAGTGAGAATGTAATTTCACTTAAAGATTCCATAAGATATCCCTTAAGATAATATGACAAGTACTTTAACATAAAGGTCTAGGAAGAGATTTACATAACCTATTTTTTACCCTCATAGGGAGATATTTCAAAATCTTCCATATTTAGTCTTTTTTTTCTTTTCTGGCTTCCATGTGTCCCCACCCAGCATTCCATACTGGCTGGGAATAAATATGTATAGATATAATATACCCCAAGAGAAAGTGCTTCTACTAACTTTCTCAGCAATTCATGCTAGCAATTAAGCACCCTTAAGCTAAATACAAAAACTCATTTCACAGGAAACTTTTATTCAATATATATAATTAGTTTTAGTTAACTTTATTAATGCAATGCCTCAAATCAATTAGGTTTGCAATAATCAGATGCAGGAGGCTCGAGAGGGGCCATCCCTCTCCCAAGAGGGGAAGGTGACAGGCAATTTCGTTGGGAAGGAAATGTAATTAGATTTGATAAGTCCTGAATGTGGAGCCAGGCACACATCCAAGCCAGAGTATGTTGTAGGAGAAGGGAACGGAGGGGAAAAGGCCCGGCCTACAGAATTCCGTCTCTGTCCTGACTACAGGGTTTATTTAGAGAAGGCTTTGTCGTATCTGAGGGCCAGCCTGAGGTGAGCCCTCCTTCCCACAGACCCACCACTCCCCGAGGCCTCCTATTGGAGGCTGCACAGAGCCCAGTGGTAGACTCAACTACTATGATCTAGACATTAGCTCTGGAGCAGATCTGGGTGACTCTAACTTTTCTCTCCTCTCCATCTGAAGTAGGAATATCAAAGCGGCATCAAGCCAGAGCACGTCTTTCTGAGCAAAAGGGACGTTCGGCATGGCTTGTCCCGTCGTTCATTCAGGGAGGGTCTCCTGACACCCACCACCAACCCATTCTCAGATAAGAGTCTCGCCCGGCAGGGTACCAGTGGCCAGCACCTGTAATCCTAACTACTTGGGAGGCTGAGATTGGGAGCTCTGTGGCTTGAGGATGGAGGATGAACGTTATTCTAGCAATGACACGAAGCCTAATACAGGCAGATAGCATTCCAGGCAGGAAAAACAAGAACTGATGTCAACAATAAGCAGCAAAACAAGACTGAAGGCATGGCTCAGTAGAAAGAGCACCTACCTACCAAGTGTGAGGTCCTAAATTCAAGTCCTAATACCGGCAAAAAAAAAAAAAAAGAAGTCTCTGGTTTCAACACAATTTACAATCTCATGCAGCAGGTGGAAGAGGAAAGGGGTGCAATCTTAAAACCTGGGTGCTCATAATGTTTAAAATGCCTTGAAAAAAAATAAATAAAATGCCTTGAGATAGGGTGAAATATTCTACCAATTTCAGATTTTAAAAAGAAATTTTCTGAAAAGAAATCAGGTCTACCACTCAGGGGCCTGGGGCTGAGCTTTTTTGTTTAAGGCTAGTGTACTGACATTTGGGTCACAGCTCCACTTCCATGTTTTTTGGTGGGTAACTGGAGAAAAGAGTCTCACAGACTTCCTTGCTCAGGCTAGCTTTGAACTGAGATCCTTAGATCTCAACACCCTGATTAGCTGGGATTACAGGTGTGAGCAGGGGCACCCTGGCATTGCCTACAATTTGACTGTTAGTTCTGTATTTCTGGTCCTGACAAAAAAATCTCTTCAAGCAATAGAGTCAAGGCTGTACACCATTGTCATCAGACTGTTTTTAGTAAAACCTCTGCCTCCTTAGATGCATACAATACACCAATGTACTTAATAAGTCGTAGGACTGATTGCACAATCATGTCATCTAGAATTTCTCCCCCTTACATAAAAAGACCCATCTAGGATCCCATGTGTGCCGTTCATCCACATGCAAGATTAAAATCATTTAATGAAATATTTCACAGACACAAAAACTGTGGCTAGTCCGAATGAGAGCAAACTATTCTGACTTTGGGCCATTTTTTACCGATATTATGTTTTTCATTGTCCCAATGCTTTTTATGTGCCCTGCAATTCTTTGAGATTCCCTAATGAGGATTAGGGAACAGGCATATTTAACAATCTGTGTTTGCAGGTTGGAAACAAGAAAATGAAGACTAATAGTTTCTCTCCTGCTAATTTGATTCTCTACAGCTCCTCTCCTCCCAGCTTGGGCAAAAGAGTTTGCTGCTATTTCCGGCAGATGGGGGCAGGGAGAAATATGGGTCTGTGGTGTCGTGCGGCCCCATGGGCTGTGATGTCACGGTCTCCAGTGAGCCTCCAACTCACAGCATCCACCAGGGATATTTGAGAGCAGGAAAGGTGCCGTGCTCTGAGCAGGAGCAGGGAGGG